TTTAGATATGAGGTGTTAATATAAGGAAATACTTTTCCTGGGGGGGCATGGCCCACTCTGGCCCGCACTAAGCTCTGCCACTGCTGGGTACTACAAAGGAGCATGAAACATGATCATCATGTATATAGTGAAATTTCCTAGTTTTCTATCAAATTTACCAGTTTTAACAAAAACTGTGGCAAGTTAGTCTGCGTGCATGTTAAATCACTAACTCCATAGTCCATACAAGTTGTGCTTCGTGATGTGTAGCCTATCTACCTAGTTAATATATAGATATAAAGGAACACACAATGACTTGGTTGAAGCTTATGATAAGACTGAGTTAATGATGCCATATGAAACTGGTGTGACAATGCTTAAGTAGAAATACTATATTTATCTTTGTTTGTTTGGTCTAGGTAGGTCACATGTACTCCCTCCGTTCCAAAATAGATGACTCAACTTTATACTAAGTTTAGTACAAAGTTGGGTCATCTATTTTGGAACGGAGGGAGTATGAGCTATGACTAAATAGCTGACTATGTTCACAATAGTTCAAACTAGTATGGTAAGTGCTCACACGATAGTCCTGAAGAATGCATAGCAGTATGCATAGTTTGCTTGGATTCAAGAAAGCCATTAGTGTGTCTATTCTGATTTTATTCAAGAATGCCGGGTTGTGCCTAATTTGTGCACCCAACATGTGATTCTAATTATGGTTTCAGCCCCCATATATTTTGACTTTGCTAATTGAGCTGGTCATCTTTTAGTGTCTACTCAATGTGTCCCCTCCATCAATTCTGGTGTGAGAAACAATGTTAGAATGATCTGCTAAGCATGTCATCATTCAAAATGTCACATTGCACCGCATAGTACACAGTTTTTTATGATAGTACTCCCTCTGTAAAGAAATATAAGAGCATTTAGATGTTTAGATTGATCTAAGCGCTCTTATATTCCTTTACAGAGGGAGTACTTCAATTTCAACAGAGGTGCTCATAGGGGTAGGGTGTGTGTGTTCATTGGGGTGAGTATGCGTGTGTGTGTGTGTGTGTGTATGTGGACATCTATGTCTGTACTCTGTTTCTCAAAAAAAATAGGCCGCTGGTTAGTCCGGCAGGTACTTCAATGAAGATGCCCTATTGTTAGAACTTTGAAATATGCACAACTCAAATGCTAAAATGAAGCAGGTGCACAGTAATATTGTCTAGCTAGATTATTTACATCCAAATATTCTTTTTTATTACATGACCTGCCAATGTGCTTATGAGAATTGGATTCTTTCTCTTTTTTTTTGCAGCTAAAAAATTTAAGTGTTGGAATCTCAGATAGCCATATGGGTATTGTCACCTACGTAATTCAATTCGGCTCCTGGGAGCACATGCTCCCCGGCGCTAAAAATGTTTTTTTCCAAATGTCAAAAACATCTGAAAACTTTTATAGGGGGAAAGCTTAACCATTTTGACCCATGCAAAAAGAAGTCAAACACCAAATGTTACATTTAATTATTTTTTCACTGACGAAGCATTGCTAACCTGTTTCGCATGAAAATTCTGAAGCAGGCTTGCTACAATAACATGAACATCTATAAGAAAATCAGAATTTTTAAATTTTATTTACTAGCTGTTTTGAATTTACTGTACATCCAGGAGCATATGCTCCCTAGAGCCAAAACGGAAACCCAATTCTGCTCCTGGGCTCATCTGCTCCATTTTTATGTCGCCGCTAGATTTTTTATTATTTTTTATTATTACACCCTAGAGCGTCAACCTCAAGTTCATTAACATCAACCAACCCCGATGTGGTTTGTATGAGCCCAGCCGCTATGTGTCAAATTAAACAAAGCTGTAGTTCCGAGTGCTTCTAATTGGACACTGAGCTCTCTCTCTTTCGTAAACCGCTTCTTAAGGTCGAAGATGTTAAAAATCAAATAAGCCTAGATAATACACAAAATGCCTCTTATCTTTTTGGCTTTGCAAATTCTTGAAGTCTCAACTGATGACCAAACAGGCACTACAAATTCCAATCGTAACCATAGTTGCATCCATAAATTAGATAGGTTGAAGTTGTTTTTTCTGATGCCTCAGTTGGTTCGAAAAAAGGTTACTTTTTCCTGAACTTAAGCTTCAGAAGTTACGACTTGTACTAATGAAGCTCACTCACAATATAAAAGAGCTATTTGCCTACATAGACTTGATTGTAGTACAGAAAGTGTTTCCTACTGAGACAGCAGCTGTAGGAATAGCTCCACAAAACGTCAGTCATGCCGAAAGAATGCTTATATAGTCTCTGTTTCCCGAAGCACAAGCTGAACTAATCAGTTTGGCTCTAGCTGTGAACCATTGTTCATTCATGTAGGGTTGATAGATAAAAGTGGCCTGATTTTCATCCCATTTTCTTAGACTGACTGGGTTTTCAGACTAATACTTGCTACTACAGATTTATTAACCAATCGATAATCAAGTTTCATTCATTTCAGTGCTCTTTTAGAAGTATATTTCTAGATACACTGCATAGCACATTCTTATGGAGAAACTTCCAGTTCTGAAGCTCCTTCGATCGTCTTTTCTTGAGACATTTTCCAGAAGATTTTCTGCATGCAGATTCCCATATTGTTGTTTGTTAAGTATCCAGCAGCACCTTTGGGTTCTGAATGTGCTTCTGTGCGTGTAGTTTCTGTGCAACCAAGTGATTATCTGCACTTGTCTGCTTATCGATGTTGTCCTGTTCTAGTTCTGTCTGTGCACTGTATTACTGCCATGCAACCTGATACTGATGCCACACATCATTTTGTCTAAATGCATGTCTGATTTGGGGTGTCTCCATGATGCAAGATGAAATGGTGGAGTCATCGGAGGACGAGCCATGCTCAGGGGACACCGGTGCATCCGACGCCGGCATGCAAGAGCAGAGCTCCCGGTTGGCCGACCGCGAGCTCAGGGAGATGCTGCTCAACAAGTACAGCGGCTGCCTCAGCCACCTCCGGACCGAGTTCCTGAAGAAGAGGAAGAAAGGGAAGCTCCCCAAGGATGCTCGGCTTGCTCTCGTGGACTGGTGGAACACACACTACCGCTGGCCTTACCCGACGGTACATGCCGCGCCTCGCGCTTTTTCTTCCGGCAATGACATCTCCCACCCCTGCTGCATCAAACCTTGATCGACGATCATCATTCATGGATAGATACCGTGATGTTCGCAGGAAGATGATAAGGTGAGGCTCGCCGCCATGACTGGCCTCGACCCGAGGCAGATCAACAACTGGTTCGTCAACCAGAGGAAGCGGCATTGGAAGCCGTCGGAGGACATGCGATTCGCGCTCATGGAAGGCGTTACCGGAGGAGGAGGGGGGTCCTCTTACGACACGACACTCTGCTTCGGCACGGACAGCATGAGATAGTTGCTCATTTCCCGCGGGCATGAAGCTCTTCTGCACACGGTGGTTGTGTGACTAGCAAGGAAGGGGTACATCAAACGATGAATAGCCCCATGATCATTTTCTCAATCATTGTGTACGTATGTAGTACATGGGCGCTGCAAGGGAAAACTTTTCTGAAACTACTACTACAGGGTGACCTGTGATCAGATTGTCTGTATCCCCCGGGATTGCCAGTGAAATCACACTGGATATGGAGGAATCAAAGGCAATGTGAATAAGTATCAGTTTATTTTTTTTCCATCTTTGAAAGTATATACATAAATCGTATGTCACTGTCTTTGCTGTGGCAAATTTTGCTACAGCTATTGACAAAAAAACAAAGAGATTGGGTTCCTGTGGCGGCTCAGGATATATACCAGCTGATTTTTAAGACCGAAGATATCGTTATTTGCTTTACCTCCATTATTGTTTTTTAAGGAAAACCTCCATTATTGTTGCTACAGTTCTTGTCAATCATTAGCCGGAACTAAATTTGGGTTTGGCCCAGCTGAAATTCGGCCTGAACAGTAGAAGTACCCAGTTTAGAGCCCATAGGAAAGTAAGGATATTTTTCTTCAGAGAAGGCATCATGGCTTCAACCTTCAAACAACAGTTACACAAGTTAAGCTGTAATGGGATTTCGTCGACCAACAATGAACCAAACCTACTAATTCATGGGCCACCTCGTTCGTGTCTCTTGCGGCACTGGTTGAATTCTACCCCCAAAAAAAGCCTTAATTGGCATGTCCATAAGAAAGTAGAAATTCCGCTAAAAAATCGAAGTAGGATACTCCTAAAATGAAATAAAAGGAAATTAAGGTGCCATTTTCCCCCTAAAAAAGCAATTGTCTTGCGGATCCACATTACAAGACATCAAATTACAACATTTTTTAGGGTAATACCAATTTACAACTGAATGACAAGCCCGACACACTATGGAAAGTCTTCTTTTCTACACTGTCAACACTCAATAGAACGGAATTCGATGCGCTCCACCACTCCACCATCGGCTGCAAAATCCGATTTTAGGTTGGCTGGGGAGATCAAATCATATATGTACATTTGGCTTCAACACACGAAAAGACAGAAGCATCAATTGTGTCAAAAACCAAGATCATAAATGACGCCAAAAAAACCACCAAGGAAGAAGAAACCCTCATACACGATCTATACAATATTCCACCATCACCAACAAGAGCAAAGGGTCATTGAAGGAATGAGTAATCTAGTGTAAAGATTCAATCAATCAAATCCAAAAATCACTAGCTCCATGACTAGTGAGGAACCAAGAGAGCCATATTCCACACGGCGCAACCTCCTTCACCATCGTGCCACTACTTCAGACACGCAAGGCATGTACATCCACCTAGGGGTGGATTAACTAGTTGCTCGGCTTGTTAAGCTCGATATGCTTAATGAGCGAAACCATGCCCAACTATATTTGTTTAAAGTTCATGAGCTCTTGTTAGTACGGGTTACCCCTTTTGCTTTGGGTGCAAGGTATAAGGGCCTACAGGACAGTGGTGCGGCTATGATTTTATCAAGGGAGATAGTGACATGGGAGGAGATGTCCTCCTAGTTATTAGTCTGGAATGAGTCGATTCGATGGAATAGAAAGCCCGAGATGCCATTAAACGTTGTCATTTAAGATAAAAAAATATGCATTGTGCTGTATTAGGAGCCTAACAAGTGTGTTGTGTTGTATTAGGGGCTTAAAATTTGGTCGTGCAATTCGGTAGCTTGTTAGGTAAGCTCATTAAGTTTAACGAGCTAAAACCAATGATCGACTCACTTTGTTAAGAAGCAAACTAGAAGCTTGACGCCTTAATGGACCAATCTAATACTAATTTTTTATGAATGAAAACTGCGTGTTCTAAACAGAAGCTAATCACAATCAACGCAAATTTCCAAGAAAAGATCAGGCTCGCAATTTTTTCATCAAAAGTATCCGTACAGCAGCAAATGCTAGAGCATGGCGTCTCCACTATGGCCTTATAGCAATTCTCCGCTCATCACAGGTTCAAAGCACATATATCAGGTACAAAGGAGTGCATTGATACTTTCAGATACAATCTCTGGGTAATCTACTTTTGGCAAAAGGGGTATATCATACTTACAAACGTAACATAATCAGCACTCAACAATCAACTTGGGTCATTTCATAAAATTCAATCAAACGCTTGCCAAAGTAACACATAGCTAAATAACTGCAAACATATATAGGTTCCATGTCAAGATGTTATTACAAATCAACCCAAAGATAGGCACAATCCATTTGTGCTCCGCCACACATCAATGACATTGTTCTTATCCATATCCACTGGCTAGGACAATAGGAAGATTACAATCACAAAATAAGTACTAATGATGGTCTAGGATTACCATAATTAAACATGAAGCAAACAAACTAGTAGTACTAGCATTCTTCAGCAGCAGCAGCAGTAATCATCAACCTTATCCACGGTGGCGCAATGTCGCCGTGGCATGACTTGTCTTGGCTCAGAACTGGAACGCGTCAGGCATGCCGCCGGCGGTGGCCAGCTGGGGCGCGAACGGGGACTGCCATGGGCGGAGCAGCGGGTCAGGGATCTCCGGGATGTCCACGGGCGCGCCGGCCACCTGGAAGATCTCCAGGACGCCGCCGAGCGCCTGCAGCCGGCCGGCGAGCTCGCCGTGGCGCGCGCGGAGCACGGCGTTCTCGCCGTCCACCTTGGTCAGCTCGGTCGTGTAGGCGCCGATCTGGGCCTCCACGCGCTTGTTCTCGGCCTGGAGGCGGCTGGCCTCGGCGATGAGCTCCTCCATCCGCTGCTGCTTGCGAGCGCGGGACCGCCTCGCCGACTCCCTGTTGGACAGCATCCTCTTGCGCTTGCGCTCGTCACCGGCGGAGCCGCTGCCGCTGCCGCCGTCGATGTTGCTCTCGGGGCTGGAGCTCCGGCGCGACGGCGACGACATGGTCGGTCGGGTTCTTGATCCAAGAACCAGAAAAGAGATCTCTTTTCTTTGATGGTGGGGAGGAAGAAGGCAAGAAAGTGGAAGAAACGAGGCTGGATCTAATCAACTAGAGGCTGGATGGATGCGGCGTTGTCGGGGGGCGAGGAGTTCATGAGAAGTCGTAGAACCAGTAGAGGAAGGCGACGGAGAAGGAGTGGGAGCGGCAGCGGACGCGCAGCTTCATCGGGGGACGGCGGCCGTCAGAGGAAGGGGAGGGTAAACATGGGTGGTGCGGGGAGGCTCTCTAGATCGAATCTGCGACGAACTCCTCCCGAGACCAAGGAGTTGAGGCTAGAATAGGACAGAGCTCAGGGGCTTATTTGCAACGGAACAGGGAGTAGACTCTTAAGGAAAACCAAACTACAGGGACTGAAATAAGAAGGGGAAGGGAGAAAGCAGGACTTAGCTGCGAATCGAAGGCAACTCCGGGGGCTCTAATGCATAAGCAGGTAGAGACGATGGGGAAGGTTTCTAAGCGCTGGGAGAGGGTCTATTTATAGGTGGAGTGGAGGGCATTCTGGGTATTTTTGGAAATGGGAAGGTGGGCGGCATTTTCTGGAGGACAACCTGTCATGGGCTATTTTTTAACTTTTAAGATATTTATTGCACTTTTGCAATTCCACGCTCAGGAAAGTAGGATATTTGATATATCTCCATCTAGTTGCGCCGAAATCCTACCACGCAGACATCGGTTAATGCAGAGTGGTAAATGATAAAAAAAATGATGTTTACAACTTTTTGTTGGCCCGGCGTCTAGGCAATAGATGGGTCATTTCAGATGCAGCATAGGATATTCTCAACTAATCAACCAAAGGCGGGTGAATAAGCTTTGTAAAAAATGTAAATAAGTTTGCTTGAATCCGCGGAGAGAATGCGATTTCAGAAGCTTGTATGTAGAGCCCAGGACAATTTCTATATGGCTGTACATGTGGTGTGGCAAACTCTTTGCATCCATTACAAAATTTGAAAGATATATTCCATTTTACGTAAACTTTAGAGAAAAGATGCATTCAATAAGCTCATTCTAGAGAAACAAACGCAAGGAAAATCAAAACCAATTGTGAACCAACAAATCGTTGTAAAAGGCATTGATGCATTTGCACCCAATCTTCGGAAACAATCTAAGAAATCGGGTATTTAACGAGGGGGGGAACGCAAAAGCGACACGTGAGGGAAGCAGCCCATTGATTGACCAAACCGAAACGATGGACGCGGCCAAAAAAGCTGTGACCCGTGGACCCCTTCACGCCTTCACGCACATGCCCCCAGCTGTTGCTGGCCATTAAAGTCCTCCCAAACTTTGCAAATATCTAATCGACAACTAATTCCCACTACTATTAACCAAAAAAAACCAAAAAAAAAGGTAGTGCCAAATTTGCCCACGGATTACATGTTTCAAATGCAATCCATATCCTCCATGGCAGGGGAAGACGGCAGGAAGACGTCCAACCAAGACCAAGGCCAAGAAGCGTGCAGCGTCGGTCGACCGGTTGATGTCACGCATATAATAAAATCGCCTCAAAACCGGCAGAGAGCAAACGCAGAGCAGCTGTTTTGGTTGTGAAAACAGAGGTTAGATCGTGAATCATTGACCAACGCACCTACTTCGTCAAAGAATAATAATCACTTTACTACACATAGAAAAATTTGGAACGAGCTTTATTTCCAGAGGCGTAATAGCTGTTTACTGTAGTTCATATGCATGAAAAATATGTCAGTAAATCGCGAGGAATGCATTATAAATTTATATATTGTGTAAATAATTTCCATACGTGAAAAAAGTTAATGAGTGAAAAGAATCAGCACCAATGTGTATCCGGATTGGCTGAGGTTGACAGGGCCCTTCTTTTCCTGGAGCATATTCCAGCTCTAGATGCCCACCTCTTTCCTAGTCTTGTCTCTTGGAGTTTATCTCTTGAAGCTAGGCTAAACCCGGTCTAAGAGCAAAAGGAGAAGAAGAAAAAAGAACGTCCTCGAAACTATCTGCCTTTTTCTTGTGCCGTCGGTCCACGTGCGTGCCCTTGCCGCCAGGGCTGGTTTGGAAGCTTCCCTCGTGGTAAAGCACTCCATTGTACTAGTTATTAACAATTGGTCAATTGATTTTTTTAAATTGGTTAATTATGTTTTAAGGCGAAGCATGCGTAGCCCACTTCGTGGTCACGACGTCGCATCGTGCAAACGAGGTGCACCCACAAGGAACGGGCCGGAGCCGGAGCCGGAGACGGTTGCCTTTTTCTTCTTTACCCCTCCATCGGACATTCGTGCACCCCAAATCACGCGTGCAATACTAAATCGATCGAAGCGCACGTAAGCGTGCACCGGTGTTAAAGCACATGTTTTGTTTACAGTTTTACTGGCCGATTCTTTTTTCTTAATAATTGATGTCGTTCTCTTTCTGTGATTTTTAACGGTAAATTTTGGGAGTGTTGGCTTGATCTCCTCTTGTGATCTTGTGACAACATTTTACCTTGTCGGCAAAGAGAGTCACATTTTACCGTTTATTAGTTCTGATGGTTTTTATCTTTTTTTATTATTTTCTGATTGGCAGGATGAATGCCCATAAAAATGTACTGTAACTTAAGAAAATAGCAAGGCCGAATGGCGGATCCATGTCTCGGGATGATGCGGTGGCTGAACAGACCCATAACTCATTATCGTATTTGCTAGGATTGTATCTGAAATTGCGCAAGAGCGCTAGGTGCACCTTTTTAGAAAATATAGTATGTTAAAAATGATAACAATTACACTAGACATTTGCAATGCCATGTGCAACCAATGATATCATTGCATGTGTAACCAATGACTCCATTGCATGTGCAACCAATGAAGGTCGGATCTAGAGTTTTCACCCTGAAGCTCGAGACCCAATATTCAAAGTGCACCACCAAATCGAAATCACCATGTGTGTTGTCCTCACCACTTTGTTGAATAAGGTGTTGTGGCATGGTGGGGCATACCCACACATCATGATTATAGGAAATCTGAATTATCCCATGGCAATACATGCCCGGAGACAGCCGCTCGCATGCATAACCTTGTCGTGGGCATCACCATGCGAACAAAAAGGCATGCATGCGAACACATATCGCCGCATTATGCAAAGAGTCAAATGTTTTCATGGGAGTCTCGACACCTCATCCACGCGTGCTCTAGAGCCATTGCGATGGGGGGGGGGGGGTTAACGACGCCAAAAAAAGTGGCCAAAAAAAGTGCTAGCGGTAGCCACACCATTTGCAATTCCACCACGTCTCTGCTTTGCGCCACCATTGTTGATGTCGCATCGCAGCAAAAGCTGCCTACCAACTTCCAAACAGTCGCTGGACCACCAGCCAGCCAGATCATGGGAGGAAGTGATTCGTTGTCGACCGTCGTTATCTAGATCAAGGGTGCCCCAATCTGCCGCGAAGATCCACCGCAACTGGCATTGACGGTCTCACGTCGCACCTCATAAACCTCCTAGAAACGCGGGAATGAAGCGGTGACACCGTGCCAGGGGCAAACCACCACCACCACCACAAGCATACCTGGCCAAACGGGCCGGCCCGGCCCGGCCCGGCCCACCGTAATCGTGCCTGGCCCGGCACGACCCGCCATGGCACGATTACTATACGGGACGTGTCGTGCCGGCCCGCGTGCTGCACCCCCAGGCCCAGGCACGACCCAGTTAGTAAACGGGCCGGCACGTTGGCCCGTTTAGCACGGTGGGCTACACATTTTTAGCCTGTTATTTGACGCACGTTGGCCTGTTCAAGCATGCGTTTTAGCCTATTTTTACATGTTGGGCCATCTATAGATGTATAAAAAAATAAAAACGTAATCGGGTCGTGCCGTGCCGGCCCGCTTGCCCAGCCTCCAGGCCCAGGGCGTGCCGCGTGCCGGGCCCGAGCCGTTTAGCCCGTGTCGTGCCTGGCCCAAGGCGGGCCGTGCCGGCATGCTCACGGGCCGGCCCCAAAAAAACGGCCCATTTGGCCAGCTATAACCGCAAGGGGTGGGGAGTGTTTGGATGGCATTACAAAGTTTCATAGATTTGAGATAAAATTGACATAATTTTGCATGCTTGCATGCTTCGATAAAATTGACCACTAGTACGCCTCGACATGTTTGCCGATCGATTTGTTATGTCATCCTACCAAAGTGGATCTAGCTTTTCGATATGTCGAAGAAAAAACCTTAGGATAAAAGCTTCCATAATGTTTTTTTAATTGACTTTCACAATGTTACAATAAGGGGTAAAGTTAGCTAAGATTTTTAGCTCGGATAAATACTGTCACATTGTCACAAATAGGATGTAAAAAGTATGTAATTTTTTTTACAACCCGGTCAGGGTCTTCTGAACTGTCTCTTTAGTAACAATCTATTTGGCTTCAATTAGATTTTTTTAAATATTTGTTATTTTAAATTCTGTAACTTTATTCGTCGTGTCTGCTCCTATTTTACCTTTTATCAACGTAAACACGAAAATAGCTAATGGAGATCAAGATCCATGGAGCCCTTAATTTAAAAAATAGAAAAGCAATTTTTAGGTCTTTAAAAAATGCAAAAAATACATACATAGACATGGAGGTATTTGCCTTGTCTTCAAATTTTCACGGAGAAATACATTTATATACGAGCTATACAAAAATAAAATATCACATATTTCTAAAACACATACGATTCACTATAAAAGTATATGATTTTTTTGTAGAGTGCACTCCAAAGCGTATTTCCTGATGAAAATTTACACACATCTTGTATACATCTATAAATACCCGTGTATTTATTTTCAGTTTTTTTATGAACTTAAAAGGTTGATTTTTCAATTTTAGAAAATTTTGTGCTCCATGGTGCCTAAGAGAAAAAAAACTCACTTTCCTTCAAAAAGAACTAATTGACCTATATTTGGCTTACATGCATTCCTTTGAAGAGCTAAACCGAATATTTAATACTCCATCCATTCCATAATGTAGTGCATATAATTT